GAAACGGACTAACACAGCACCTCCACTCGGGGTGTCGTGGGGTCTGTGCCATACTTGTGTGACAGCTGGGGAGCCTCTGTACCCAGAGTCCCACGTGAGGGTCAGGACTCAGTGGGCATGCAGGGAGCAGATGCTGTGGGCTTGGCGAGCAGCAATGGCACGGCTGAGTCCACCTGCTCAGCAAGTCACCGTCCTCCCCATCCCCAAAGCCCAGCCTGCCCCGGGGAGCCCCCTCCCCCATTCCCAGTTCTTTCACTCAAGCAGGCCTGACCTAACCGTCACTGCCAGGGGAGGCCTGTGACCCGAGGCAGGCACTCAGCATCTCCCGTAAGTCCACTGGCTCAGGGATGGGCGGGTGACCAAAGGCAGACAGGTGCGATGCTTTCTCTTGGGGTTCCTCAACGACAGGATGAGAACAAGGGGATGCCAGAGCCTTGCACCTGCCACCTCCACGGGGGGAACCTGCTCAAGGAGACCAGAGCCACGAGTGCACTCGGGACTCTGGGGACACTGCGAGCACCTGGAGCCAGCTAGGACGTCTCTGGAATGACCCCTGCTCAGAACTGGGCACTGCGGGTGCCGAGCATGTGGCAGGCTGGCTCAGGAGATGTCACGTTTGGCATGGGTGGGATTCTCTGCAGTCAGCGTCCTGCCACCTGGTGCTGAGCTGTGACGGGTCTGAGACCTGGCTCCCTGCCCTCTGCTGCCCCGCTGCTTCCGCCCGGGTGACGATGACCGCGGTCATTTCAAGGACTGTGGTGATCCCCTGCTGACACAGCCCAGGTTGGGGCACTGGGTCAGTGGCTTAAACTCAGCATCACCGGCAGATCCAGCGATCCCAGGGTCAGGTACCCACCCTGGAGAACAGAACGCAGGGATCCAAAGTGTTCCATGGATGCTCACAGCACACAACCGCCAAAAGGTGGGGAAAGCCCCAGAACGGGTCCACGAGCCGCGGCCTAAGCACATGATGGACGAAGATTCCACCTCGACCAGGAGCGCAGCATGGACACAGGCTACGGCTGGACTGGCCGCAGAAACCTCAGCCAGATATAGATGCCAGAGGAAACCCCACAAAGACAGAGTGGATGGCTGGTTGTGGGCTGGGAGAGGCTGGGAGTGAGCGCTGCAGAGCACGGGGCTTCCTCTGTGGCTGTCCCCAGCCTGGGGGTTAGCGTGAGATCCCGTGAACGCACTGCTCCTGCCACGGAACTGTGTGTTGTAAAACGGGTGAAGTCGTCAGCCTTCGGGTGTCTGTATGTCCCCACAGCAGGAGAAGGTACACCCAACAGAAAAACAAGCACCGCTGTGATGACAAAGTGCATTTCTTTTTTTTTTTTTTTGACAGGCAGAGTGGACAGTGAGAGAGAGAGAGACAGAGAGAAAGGTCTTCCTTTGCCGTTGGTTCACCCTCTAATGGCTGCCACGGCCAGCGCACTGCGGCCGGCGCACCGTGCTGATCTGATGGCAGGAGCCAGGTACTTATCCTGGTCTCCCATGGGGTGCAGGGCCCAAGGACTTGGGCCATCCTCCACTGCACTCCCTGGCCACAGCAGAGAGCTGGCCTGGAAGAGGGGCAACCGGGACAGAATCCAGCACCCCGGCCGGGACTAGAACCTGGTGTGCCGGCGCCGCAAGGTGGAGGATTAGCCTAGTGAGCCGCGGCGCCAGCCTGACAAAGTGTATTTCTAAGAGACACAAAGACTTGAAAACCCAGGCCTCCGCCCGGCTCCGACCTCTGCGCATTCCCGAGTTTTATCTGTGGCTGCCGCAATGTACCCAGGCCTGCAATGTGATGATTCTAAGGCCAACGTGGGGTCCACTGTGCAGGCGATGGCAGGGCTCACTCGAAATCCTGGGGGTTTCCCCGGAGGCGGGCCACACATCCTGCCACGTACTCCCTGGGACTCTGGTGGGTCCTGGGACCCTGCAGGCAAGGGCCGGCCCACTTTGGCTCTGACCTAAGCTGGTTACCCTTGTCCTGGCAACTTTTCCAGTTTCTGAGGGGGGCGGGGAGGGAGGTGCACAGGGCAGGTCCCGGAGGGAGGAGCCACTGGTCCGATACAGTACATCCTGGGCAAGTGCTCCCCGGGCCTGTGGATGAGTGATGGGAGGGGCTGGCCTCATCTCTTCCATCAGCAAACATGAACTGACTCTGCGCTCTGTCCAGGCTCGGCTGTTCTTAGGGCTGGGCTGATCCACGGCATGAGACCCCACAGCGGCTCAGGGCCTGGCTGGGGCGACCCTGACTTGCCAACCCACGTGGTGAGCAGGCTCAGCAGGTGCTGGTGCTGCCATAAGAAACTCTCCCTCGTGCAGCGGGTGGGCAGGCAGGTTTATGCCATTGCTCCCTGTCTCCAAGGGTCAGTCCTGTCCTTGGCCTCTGAGGTCAGGCTGCACGCTGAGACCCAGGGGTGGGCACAGCCAGGCGGGCCCTGCCCCTACACGGCCCAGACTCCCATGGGCAGGACTCATGCAGCAACACCACAGTGGGTCCTTGTGGGGGACCCTCTTGGGGGAGAGGGAGCCCAGCCTGGAGGGGCAGGGTCTGCACCCCCATCAGCTAATGGTGAAAGCAACACTAGGAGCAATGGTCCCTCTTGCACACGCCGCCTGGCAAGTGCCCAGCTCTGTCCCATGCTCACTTGCTTAACCCTCCCAGGACTGTACGAGACAGGCGCTCTTCTCATTCCCACTCTGCAGATGAGGGAGTCAAGGCACAGAGGGGTTAAGTGGCCTGTTCACGGACACACGACAAAGTAGGAGTTGAACTGGCCCCGGGCAGCTGCTTCCCGATGCCGTGCTCATAAGCCTGTGTACTGTCCAACCCACTGCTTCTCCAGGACAGCGGCCTCCAATCTGGTCCACCCCCCTTCTCCAGAAAAGGCCCCCACGGCCTGGCGATCGGAAGGTCACAGACATCTTTGCCAAAATCCCCGAGGCGGCAGAATGAGCGTTCGGGTCCCCTCCCGAGCGGGTGGCGCCCGACCTTGTCCTGACATTTCGGAGACATCTCTACACATCCCTGCCTCTGAGCTGCTGTCCTGGCTGTGTCCTGCACCTGCGCTGCTGCCTTCACTGGAGGAAGCCTGAGTTCCTGCCACGTGCACGGCTCTGGGTGGCCCCTCGTCTCACACAGCACACGCTGGCAGGACGTGGACAGGCGATGACCGGTCACTGTGGGCGGGTGTCACAGAGCAGAGGTGGGAGGAGAAGGCGGAGGTACCCAGGTGAGGAGGAGGGGGAGGAGAGCCAGAGGAGAGGGCAGGCAAGCGCCCAGGGGGACACAGCACATTCTGAATACCAGGGTAGAGGGTGAGGGTCAGGGTGTGGGGGATCCACCCCCTCACTGGCTATCTCACTGCCTTGTCCTGGTGGCCTCCTCTGCTGCCTGGGACTCTGGGAGTCCCGCCGCAGGCTCACACACCCCCCTCCCTCCCTCGCTAAACCCTCAGGGACAGCCCCAGTTCATCTCCATGTGGGCCACACGGCAGAGGCTGGGCACAGAGGAGTGTGCAGAGGGAAGAGTCTGTCCCATGGAGCTCAGACGCCCCGGTGAGGGCTCAGCCTTGTGGCACCCAAGTGGGAGACCCCTCCTTCTGCAGCCATGGCCGGCCCCCTCCCTCCCCATCTGACTTCCTGCTGCTGCACGCACACCCTAATTCCCACGGCTGGATATCTCTATCAATTATAAGATTCTACAGGGCATTTGGTGCTGCCTTCCTTCAGCTCATCTGCCAACCCAACCACTCGAATCGAGAGACTCCGCAGTGTAGACAAAGGCAAATCAATGCTAACGAAAGCCTGCCACGTGCACCTAGGGAAACTGAGAGGGCAGGTACAGAGGACCCAGGGGTCCTGTCTCGGGGGACCCATGGGTGCAGGAAGGGACCCTGAGCCAGAGGACTCCATTGTGGAGATGTGACTTCACTGCCTGTGGCAGGTCTCACCGCACACAGCCTGGGGCAGAGGAAGATGCATGTGAGACGCAGCCCAGGGACTCAGGACTGACGCAGGGCATCAGCAGATACAGTGCAGAAGCAGCAGGCTTCGGGGCCAACCTGCACTCGCATCTCTCTGTGAGCCCAGCAGCCTGTTCCATCCTCCGAAGTTTACGACTGTTACCTGCAAGATGGGTGTAACACACTGAAGTCCCAGGGGTGGACATTGCAGAATACATGTCTGCGGCTTCTCTTGTGTGTCAGGTGCTGTACCATGGGCTGCAGACGCAGCAGGGTCCAAGCCTCCCCCGAGGGGAGACCAACAGTGAGCCAACCAGGAGATGACTCAGGGTTCACGATGGTGTTGGGCACACATGTGGCCAGTGGCAGCCGGGGGCTGCCCAGAGAGGCCTCTGTGAGTGGGAGGAACATGAGCTGAGACCTCAGGGGTGAGGCGAAGGCGGGCACGAGGCACAGGAGGTGCAGGGACACAGCCATGTGGCTCCCTCTGCCCCTCCTCACAGGAGAGAGGACGAATCGGATGAGCACTGTCACTAAGTAAGGAGCCTCATGCCCAGAACGAACAAGGGCACAGGGGACAGAGATGGACTCTTAAGGGGAGGAGGGACGGGCGGCATGCAGTCTTCCTTCAGGCTCCTGTCCACCCACATCTCTGGTTCAGCACCCTGGAGAGAGCCAGTGACCCGCAAGGCTCCACGCCCCAGAGGGATTCAGCACCACGGACAGAGCCAGTGCCTTTTCCCAGCCCCCAGCCCCCAGCCCCACCCTTGCTTCTGTGACTATTTCTAGATGCTGACCACCACACACAGATGGACCTACTTGAGGTGACATTCTAAGTGTTCCCTGCATTGGCCTCAGTCACCCCCAGCTCCACAACATCCGGCCACTCCCTAAACGAGCCCTGAACTTCCCTGACCCCCAGGCTTTCTCCCTAGCCCGCCCTCCCACTCCTGCCCTTGACCACACTCTGGGTTTGCTCCCATTCTAGACTGAGTTCCCCAAGGAACTGTGTCAGATTCACGCCCCCCCCCCCCCCATCGCAGCATTCCAGGCACTGGAGAGCTGCTACCGAAATGAGTGACTCACCATTGCTACCACCGGTCAGCGCTCACGAGGCCAGGCACTGAGCTGTGCGCCTCACCGGAGTTTCGTTTGCAGGTTAAGGTGCCGAGGCTACAGGAGCAACATGCCCAGGCCGCACTCGGTGAAGAGGAGGCAGAGCCTGAGTCACACGTGAGTTGGACGGCACGCCCGTGCCCTTGCCCACGGCCTCTCTCTGTCTCTCCAACCTGGTGTGCTGCCATCTGCCAGTCCCACGGAACCTGAGCACAGCAGCCACGGTCCCCTGAAGTGATTCTGAATCTTTTTTTAGCCCAAAATTGAAATCACTGAAGCTTCAAATTAGAACCCCAAAAGGACTGAGCCAAGACTTCAGATTTGCTGGAACCAGGTTGCCTGCATTCCCCTTCTCGGCAGGATCACTGGGCTGCTGCTCGGCCCAAACCACCTGTTCCCCATCGACACAGAGGACACAGGGACGATTCCCCTGGCCCGGGAGGCTCTCCCCGACGTCCGGGGGCTCCCCTCAGAGCAGTGGAGACCCCAGTGCTCCGACTCGTGGAGTTCCGACCCCAGAAGCGTGACAGGACACCACCGACAGAGAACAGAAGTGCTGCACACTCGCAGGGACTCCGGGCAGCCTCTGCTTGCCTCTGACTTGGAGATAACACGATGCTGGCTCTGGGGACCCAGGCACCACCGTGAGCCCAGGTCAGGAGCTCAGCAGTCGCCCTGGCTTCCTGTGAACACCAGCTGGAGCTGGCCTTTAGCTCAGTAATGGAATTAAATACCAATTTAAAGCCACAGAAACAAGGCATGAAGGCGCTGTTATGGTGGGGGTGGGGTGGGGCGGGGCAAACACAGTTCCAGGCCTGGCCATCAGGGCCATCAGCAGGACGAGTGACAGAGTCAAAGGCAAGAGAGGAACGTGCAGAGCTGGCCCCGAAGACAGGGCCAGGCCCTGGGCTCAGCCGCGGGGTTTGCCACTGGAGGGAGAAATGTACACCTTGACAATCGAGTCAGACGCATGCCCAGACAGAGCCACACGAGGCGGTGAGCGCGCCGAGCGGAGCAGGGCAGGTGCCTGTGTCGGCTGGGGCCCTTCCACAGCTCCGGCTAGCTGCTGGCGGAAGGGCCTGTCTGTGCGAGTCTGGCGCGTGGTAGCCGTGCTGTCGCTGCTACCTGCTCAAAAGCACAGCGGTAAGAATCGGTCGCTGTCATCACCACAGATCACCGTCACCACAGGCTCAACTGGTGTTCACCGATTCCTCCTCCGAGTCAGGCATCGCCGCCGACCAGCAACCAAGGCTGACGCGGCGCCAGCCTCGTGCTCGGCACCGCCGACTTGCGGTCTTTGTGCCGAAGGCCTGGGCTGGCCCTGTGTTCTTCAGGGATTCAGTTCCCATCTTTTTTACTGACAGGGAAATGGACTCAGCGAGCAGATGCTGGTTAATAACGAAGCCAACGATCGATCAAGACGTTTAACTCGGGCTGGAGGGTGGGCGGGGGCAGACCTGTGTGCAGCAGGTGGGCACCGCAGCACGGCTGGAGGCAGGGGGTGGCCCACGGGTGCGGGAGCCTGGGCCATGTTCCTGAGGTGATGGCCTGAATTCCTGGATGGTCTCAGGGCAGGATGTTACAGCGTCGCTCTGAGCATTGTCACTGAAACACAGACCCAAACGACGCAGCCCTTCCAGGCCCACTCTAGGGCACGTGTTTAATACGAGGGAAGAGTCATTAGCAAACCGGAGCTGCCTGCTTTAATTACGAAGGAAAACCTATTTAGAGAAAAGAACACAAAGCCAAGATCGGCCACTTCAGGGCCAAGAAAACAATCACAGGGACCACAGGAGTCTTTGCAGGAGGCGGCGGCCCCGCGGGGCCACCCCCTTGCTGAGCAAACATCCCCACCTCGCCATGCGGAACTCAGTGTGGGCCTCCCACGTGAGGGCCAGGGACCCAGGCAGTAGAGCCCGCACCTGCTGCCTTTGCCTCCCAGGGTGCACATGAGCAGGAAGCTGGAATGGTCGGTCAGTGGAGCCGGGACTCGAACCCAGGCCCTCTGATACGGGATGCGGGCGTCCTAAGTGGCCACCTCACTGCCGTGCCACACGTGCCTACCCCGGTAACGCTCTCCCAAGAAACGGTTTTCTACTCATCACAGATGAGTGCTGCTCTTCCCGAAAGTCTTTGCGACGCCAAAAAGTCAGAACGGAAGGGAACACAACACAGCGCCATCGCCGCGGGGCTTGGCCGCCCGCCTTGCTCTTTCTACGCCTATGTGGGGAGGGGCGGTCACCACTTAGATGCACTTTGTTCAGATTCTGCTTTTCTCGCTAAACACATCGTAGCCACTCTGCCGGTATTAAGCACTCTGAGCAAGCAGGATTTTAATGCCTTCGTACAAATCCACGGCAGATGTTCACGTCCCCTGATTTTCCGGGACACTGTGATCTCTCCCCCGGCTCCCGGCGCTGCACACGTGCCCGGCTCAGCTCTGCGGCTCTTGCTTCACCCTGCCAGTGATTCCTCCAAGTTCACGGCAATTTATCCCTTCGCCTAGCAACACAAGTCCTCCCACAACGGTATAGTAATAACAACCACAAAAAAGTCTGCTAACCTGAAAATAAGAATGCGCGCCTTGTGTCCTCTGCCCTCTGCCCCAGGAAGCACTTCCAAGTGGCTCTCCTGTATCCTGGGGCTGCAGTGCTGCCCTGGACAGCCTGATCCAGGCCTCTACATGGAGCAGAGCATGCCGGGGGCAAGGCGCGGACGCACTCCGTACCTCCCCTTCCCTGCCCGTAAGTGGGGGGCGACGGCAGGGGTGGCCGTGAGAAGGAGACGGGACAACGCAGTGCCAGGGAGGGGTGCTCCCAGGCGCCACGGGCGAGGTCTTGTTGCAATCGCCATCGTCCTGTGGCTGTTCCCCCACGAGCTGTGTTCCAAGCAGCTGTTCCGAGGTGGGGTACTCGGCTCGTGAACGGAACTCCAAGAACAGAAGTTGGGTTTCCAGAGGTGGACTTTGGCCAGAAACACAGTCGTGGTCCCCAGACCAGCTCAGCACGGCACCTGCTGCCGACAACCATGCTAGAAGATGGGTGAGCAGTGTGGATCAGTGGGGGGTGGGGGTGGGCTCAGGGTCTCACTGGCTGGGGCCCCTTGTGGCTTCCTCTAAGCTCCTTCCCCTTGGTTCTGACTCAGTAGGGTAGTCAGGGGCCAGGTCCCTATGCTGCTAACAGGCCCGAGGGACTCTGCTGCCCGGCCAGGCTCCCTTGGCCCAGGCTGCTGCCAGCGCCACACGATGTCAGGGGACATCCCAACCCCGCACACCTTGATTCCTTGATGCCCAACCTCATCTGGGAGCCCTCCATAGCCTCCTTATGACACGTCTTAACTTTTGGAAGTGACCTCTGACCTCTCACTCCCACAGGGACAACCCCAAAGGGGCAGCTGATGGAACCATCCCTGGAGGCTGACTCTCCCTCGGAACCCTCTGACCGCAGATCCTGACATCTTGAAAACCAGCTTGGACTGTGTGTCCTTTCTCCTGGCTGGTGGAGCCCCGCCCCCACCTCTCCCCTGCACAGTGGCAAAACCCTGTCCTGACCCTGTCCCCAGTCCCCGGAAGGGTTCAAGGCTGTTGCTAGCTGGACAAGGTCAGCACTTCAGCTGGTCTGAAAATGGTAAACACATCCGGGCTCACAGCCACAAATCCAACCAGACACGGGTTGGAAGCGCTCGGAAGAAGACTGGCACCTGCACAGAGCACGTGTGTGCTTTGTGATCGCCTAAACAGCACGCTGGGGCGGCCGCTTACAGAGCAGTCACATTGCATCAGGCATTACAAGTCATCTCCAGATGACTGGATGCCAGCAGCCTCCGTGCAAATGCTACGCCACTTTGAGGCCACAGATTCCAGTATCGGCAGGGTGGTCCCGGGACCACCACGGGCGCACGCATACCCTCTCACCCACCTCTGAGACGATTCTTTACGACAATCAACTCACACCCCAAGACCCATCGTGTGGTCCTCGTTCTGCATTTGAAGACAGCCGCCTGCTGCTACTCACTGCTCCCGACTTGGGTGGCAGGTGCACAACCAACAAAGGGACAAACTCTCCCTGAACGCTTCCTTGGGCAGGGCAGAAACACACCCCAGAAGTACCCAAGAAAACCGCCGTGACAGGAACCCCTTGGCTCCAGGTCCCGGGGCCAGGCAGGGGCCGGCGGCAGCGCTCGCGCCTGGTGCAGCCCTTGCGGCGTGCGTTTCTTAAAGAGGAAACAATGCCCTGACATACTTTCCAGGTGCAGCGCGAGAGGCCAGCTCGCCCAGGAGTCTGCCAGGAAGCGAGGACAGGCGGCCCCTCCCATGGAGACCGCGGGCCCTCAAAGGCTCGGGAACCGCCCCCACCAGGGAGTCTGGCGCCCAAAAGAACGTGCACTCGGGACATGCGGGCTGTTTGAAGTCACCCCTGCGAGGCTGGAGGTTTTTCATGGAAACCACAGAAAAGCGACCTGTTGGGGAAAAGCCTGTGTCTGTAGAACTAGAAGTGACCTTACATTCTCAAGGCTAAATGCAAAAGCCAGGGACCAACTCAGCAGCGAGTGGCCGGCTTACGTCAGCCCACCTGCTGGGGGACTTCAGAGCCCCCACCCCCACCTGGAAATCAACTGGGAGAAGCCATGTTCCCCCCAGTGCCCAACCCCTGTGCCCTGCACCCGCCTTGGTGTCTGAGCTAAGAAGTTCTGTGGGGCTGTGAGGGGCCGGGTTGTCCTGCAGGCCACCTACCACTTCACAGGGCCAGCCCAGGGAACCCTGGGAGGCAGAGGTGGCCTTGGGCGTCCCACCTGCTCCTCGACAGCAAGATCAGAAGAGGGGCCTTGAAGAGAGAAGCGCAGGGACCCCCAACCTCAGCCTGGCGCACGGCCTTTGTGGACACCTCGGCGCAGGCGTAAAGGAAGAGCCAGGGACCCGGCACAGGTGCCTCCGGTGTGCACGTGTCCTTTATCAAGGGAATGACCCAATGAGTGGACCACGGGGCTGCTCCTACACTTTCAGCCTTCACAAATTACTGACCACCAAGAACCGGCACCAACCCAACAGGACCTCGGGGAGGCCTCCTCCCCGTGCCCAGCACCCTGCATGCTCACACGCCCACCGCAGACTCCAGCGCCGCCTCCCCGGCCAGGCCACGCCCCCTCCCTGTGTCTCTGGCTGTCACACACAGGAAGGGGACTGACATCACCACCGCATCCCACAGAAGATGATTCAACTGCTCTGTGCATCTCCACGAGGGTTACAAATCGAGTTAACCCAGGGAGCTGCAGCGGCTCCGTCTCCATCATTCTGGACACGCACCCGACAGTCACAGCACACAGAATCCAAATTAGCTCGTTCCTTGCCCCAACCAGGCTGGGACTGGGCTATCGTAACTCAGATACATCCCCCAGCACAGAAAATGAAAGCAAGACAAGATCCTTGGGAAAAGGCAACACACTGCCATCTCCTTCGAACCGGCCCTTCTGGGTCTCCACCCCGCTTCAGTCGTCTGGAGCAGCACTTAGGAGACCGTGAGCGCAATCGCAGCTTCCAAAGCCACCTTGGTGGGGACAGTGTCATGGAGAGAAGCGGCTGCGCACGGCCAGCTCGCCTCGGGCTCAGATTGGTCTCCTCTGCAGGACGGGCGTGTGTCCGGCGGCCCGAGGGCGGGGACTCGCGCGGGGCTGGCCGGACCCAACACACCTGCTCCTTGCACCTGCTCGTGGCTTTCTGAGGCAGAGCACCCGGGACTCGGGGCGCACACTAAAGAGCCAAGAATCAAGAAAGTGAACTCCCACTGAGGGCCACCAGCATCTCCTTGACTTTTCAAAACTGAACTGCTCAGTTCAAAACTACAACTGCTCAGTTCCCCGAAGAGCAGCACACTGTTCTGCCCCACGAGGCACAAGGGAAGGCGGGGTGCCCAGCTGTGCCCTGGGCCCCACGGAGAGCGCAGACACGGGACACGGCCCTCACATCCGGCAGACTCCTCAGCGCACAGAACGTGCCCTGCTGAGCGCCCAGTGCCTCTGAAGTCAGACGCTTCCTCCTGGTGCCACCGACTCCAGCTGTCCCCGGGCCTCTGTGCCTTCGAAGGCCACTGTCTGCCTAACTGCCAATCCACGGACTCCCAGCCACCTGTCACCAACCTCACGCCAGGGAGTGCCAACCAAGACTGTGGTAACTTGCCCTCAGGACACATGGGGTGATGACGGCCACATCCAGACCGCCACGAATCTACCCGTGTCCCCAGCGTCACGGCAAACACACACCACTTCTTTCCACCTCTACTTCAAGACCACTGGCCAAGGCTCATGGCCACGACTCCCAGGCAGAGTCTTAGAAGCCAGGCTCCAGGCCCACAGGAAGGAGCGCCCACTGCGGAGTAGCACAAGTCCACGGCCGCCTCCAGCAGCAGCTCCCGGTCTGGCCCCGCAGCCACGCTGTCACCGAGACCACCGAGCCTTCTCCCAGATGAGAGCCGGCGCTCTCCGCATGCAAAACGACAAACACCAGGGTCCCTACCTCAATCAGGAAGTCCCCGGTCCGCAGCCCGGCTTGCCATGCCACCCCGCCCTCGTCCACGGACTCCAGGTACTGCAGGGCCGGGAAGGCGGGCGTGGGTGTGAATTCTTCAATGGGCGTGTCAGCTGGGAAGAGAAGGACGGCTTGTTACAGCTTGTTGTGAGCCAGGGGGGTGTCCCCCCGAGGTGGCTGTGCCTGACCTCCCCACGGGCGCCGGGAGTGTGAGGCTCCCCACGCCGACCACCAGCAGGAGGCCGGTTCAGGTCGCCTCCGCGCTGGGAAGAGCTGGAGGGACAGCTGCTCCTGGGCCAGCACCAACTTCAGCGCTGACGCCAGCTGCGCGCTGGGGCTGCCATGTTTCGTGGCCTCCATGCTGAAGCCACGGAGGGCCATGCTCCGCGGTACGTGGCTGCAGGCCTGTCGTTTTTTTAAAGGCATCAGTGACTAAACATTTTGAGCTCTAAAAATGGAAAAGTTCCTCCTGTACCACTCGGAGCTACAGAAACCCCACACGGAGCCGCTCGGCAACTGTACGTCCACGGTGAGTGGCAGCCCAAGGACTTCGACCTGGGACGTGGGCCGAGCTCCACGCTCACTCCGGAGGTGGCGGCAGATGTGAGCCCCCTCCACGGGGAGCCGGCTCTCCAGGACTGCCCTGTGGCTGGCGTCCACACCGGGGCTGGACCACTGCTCCTGGGCAGGGTGAGGCCTGGGTTCCAGGGTGCACACAGCTGCTGCCAGTGCCTCGAGGGCTGGAGCTGGCCTCTGCCAGGCCACCGTGAGTGGGTGGGGGGTGGAGATAGCCCTGGTGGGGGAGGGGCAGCACATCACTCAGGGCCCTGGGGACAGGACCGGCTCTCCTTCCTCTCTCTGGACAGATCAGCTTGGGGCTGCCAGCCTGGGAAGGGGGCCCAGCCAGAAGCTCTGAGATGCAACTTCCCATGACCCCCCGCCCCCCAACATACACACACACACACACACACACACACACACGTGTTGGGGGCAGGTGTCTCCTCTAGCAGGGAGGCGATGCCATTTTTTTTTTTTTTGGGCAAGGAAGCCCCCAAGTTCAGGGTAGGCGGTGGGCATGCTGCCATGGACGCCACTGAAGCCTCCCCCCGACAGGCCACGGAACGGGTGTGCTGCCGGCTCAGTGCACGGCAGAGGGGACCATCTTGCCACACTCCCTTTGCAAAGTCACCTTAGAGATGGGCACACGGCCGCCTGCCAGCCTCGGGGCGGAAGCCCACTCCCGGGATGGGGTGGTTTCTCGGCACCTGAAACTCAGGGCCGGGGAATTCAGAGGCCAGGGGCTCTAAATGGAGCGACGATGTGGCTGAACAGAACCACAGAGCACCAGTGAGCCCGGCGATTTACAGAAAGTGGGGGGAGGGGGCTGAGAGAGGGAGCGAGCGATCGAGAGAGGGGGAGAGCGAGCCTGTTCGGAGCAGTATTGTGTATAGAAAACGAGAATTATTCCTAAAGGAAGCCCCGGTGTTTTCTGAGTGAGGCAGAAGATTAAGGAACACGGTTGTCTAGCAACCAGGTGGCCCCCAGCAAAAATGCCACTGAATGCTCGGGCCCGGGAGCATTGTTCACACAGGCGTGCACACACACACACACACACACACACACGAACGGCCCGGCTCCTACCTTTTGCCCCCCGGAGCACGAAGCCAAAGCCCTCGCTGTCTTTCTTCTGCAGGACCACTGTCTTCTCGTCGATGATGCAGTCGCTGTAGAGAGAATTCCGGGGATAGCGACCATTACTGTAGCCCGTCATCATCACGGCCGCGGCCCCTCCGCCGGGCACGCTCATCATCACCGCCGATTAATCACCCAGCTCGCTGGCCGGCCGCGGCAGCATGGAGGAAGCGAGGCGGCGGAGGGGGGTGCTGGCGGGATAGGCGGGCAGGGCACAATGGGACCGGCAGGGGGGGGCAGGCAGCGCCGGAGCCAGCCCAGGGAAGCAGTCACACATGGTGCAGGCTCTGCCCTGCCTGGGGCCGGCCAGGCGGGGCGGGCTCAGGGCACCCTGGGGCCGGCAAGAGCCCAGAAAGTAAGTGGCCCGGGGGGCGGCGTTGGTGGCGGTGGCAGCGGCGGTAGCGGCGTGAATGGACTCTTCCGGCCTGGCTGGGCCAGACGCATCTTCCAGGGAAGCCCGAGGAAATCAGCCCAAGGAGAAAGGAGGCAGCCCGTTCCGTTTCGCTTTCTCTCCAAAGGGGTTAAAAAGATCGCGTTCCGTGCGCTCCCTGCACGAGCCGGCGGCGGGTGGCAGGCACCGGAGACGCAGGACCTGTGTGCGCATCCAGCGCCCCCTCCCTCGCCCGTCCTAGCGAGTGTGATGTGCGGCAGGAGCCCCCACAGTCATCTGACGAGCCCAGTGCCGCCGGCAGCGGCTGCCTGGGCGTCATCCCGCACAGAGAATCCTCAGGCTGGGCTGGCGGCAGTGGGGAGGGGAGCGCAGGGCTGAGGCCAGGACGTCCGAGGCCAGCGGGTGGGCTGGCCGGCAGGGTGGTGGTGGGGGGTGGGGAGTGGGGGGTTGGGGGAAGATGCTCTAGGCGGGGGGAGCCTAGTGATTTTATATCAAAGCCTCAGGCCTCTGTGGGGGCCGTGCATGCCAGGGGGTGGGGGGGGCTGCTGTTGGCCACCGTCCGCTTCCTGGCACGGCAGTTCTTTTTTTAAAGCAAAGAAACCAAAAACTCCAACTTGGCTTCCACCGCCAAAACCTGCTCTTCCTTTCTGCTGAGGGCACTTCACCATCTGATCAGCTCCCCCCATCTGATCAGCTCCCCCAGGGGACAGGAGGCCCGCCCCACCGTGGGCCCTGCGACCTGGCTCCCTGGGGGAGGGGTGGCGCCAGACAGGGAAGGCTGCTGCACCCCAGGCTTCTGCCAACGGCCTGGAAGTCAGTGAGAGCTCACAAGGCCTGGAGGGCAGTGAATGTTGAGGGAGGGGCTTTCCCTAGGGTCCCAGGGCTGGTGCGGGAGCAGTCAAGGCGGGGAGGACCCCAGGAGCTGAGGTGCAGACAGAGAGCACTGCAGGGGGCCCTGCCTCAGAGGGAGAGGCCTGGGGCGGAGACAAAGTCGGGAGCGGCACTGAGGCCCCGTGGGCGGAGGTCAGCTTCAGCTCGAAGCCGGCTTCACTGTCCACGGCAGCTCGCGGCCCAGCCTGTGGCCAGCTGGTGAGCACGGCACACCCAGCCTGGGCACCCCTGGGCAGCCCTGGGCAGCAGCCCCCGGAGGTTCCCATTTCACAGATGAAGCCAACAAGGTTCAGAGAGGCTGGGGGTCGAAGCTGAGAGCACAGTGCTGTTCCCACCGCCCCCACCCGTACCAGGGCGGTGC